TAGTTGGACCCAAAAAACCAGCCCCCAAATCATGACATGGAGATTTCCTATTCGTTATGAAAGCTTGGCCTTGGCTTATGCTTGTCTCATCAGCTCTTATAACTTAAATTAACTTAAATTAACCCGTTTCACTTCATCTATGTTTGCCTCAGCACTTTTTACTTTTCTTTTTATATGTTCTACTCCATTTTCTGTCTCTCTGTGGCAGTTGCCTCACTGACTGAACCCTGGCACCTTCCGCTCTTTCTCCTTCTGTCTCTCTTCTCTTCTTCCCCAACCTAGATTCTACCTCCTACTTACTGTCTCTACCTGCCACCCCTGCCTCTCCCTCTACTGCCTAGCTATTGGCCATTCAACTTTTTATTAGACCAATTAGGTAGCTTAGGCAGGCAAGGTAAAATAGCAACAGATCTTACATAATTAAGGGTGCCAAAACTAAAGTTATGCAGCTTTACAGCAAATGCAGCCTTGGCGCTACGGTTTGGTTTAGTCTTATGTAATTAAGCCAAAGTACACTTTAAAGCCAATAGGGTTACTACTGCCAGAACAAGAGCAATACTTGCTGAACAAGCCATCGATTAAAGTGACTTACAGGGTTGGATGAGGTTATTCTAGCTGCAAAGCTTTCCAGACATCCATTCCTGTCTTATCAGATAACTTATCAAGGTAACAGTTTCCTTATTTTTTGCTATAAATCATTTGAGAAGAATTATGGTAACCCATCAAATGCCTCTTAACCTTTTCCGGTCACTCTGGTTATTACTGAATTTTAAAGGTGTAACACAAAAGGATGTAACATTCCAATCACATTTTAATTTTATCTGCTCCTCACATAGTCTTAACTCATCTATTTCACTATTTTATTTTGTTGAGTCCTGAGTTCTGTACAATGCCTGGGCTGTGCTCAGCAGTTTGAATTTTTTTATAAAGTGCCAGTTCAGCAGTTACAGTCATAGCAATCAATGCAATAATCCCCCAAATCACTGTAATAATTAATCCAAGCATTTGACATGTTCTTAATATTCTTTCAGCGAGCTTCTATTCTAGGATCATCACAGGTGAGTCTGGCCATGGCCTCAGCAACTTTACCAGTATCCAGATTGCTGGCCTTGCTCTAAGAATGTATAAACTTGCCGGGTGGTGGTGGCACACACCTTTAATCCCAGCGCTCTGGAGGCAGAGACAGGCAGATCTATGAGTTTGGGGCTTGTCTGGTCTACAGAGCGAGTTCCAGGACAGACTCCAAAGCTACAGAACCCTGTCTCGAACTCCCCCTCCAAAAAAAGAATGTATAAACTTGTAGCGGTTACATTTAAAGACATACTAAAATGAACACCGGTATGAAGGGTACAGCATTCAAAAGTGATGTTCTAATTGCTAGGGTGCCAATGCACAGGCCCCTTCAGTGGTATGAGGTTAAGGTAAACATGCTTTCCTTCCCACGCTGCAGGAGGGTGAAAGGCACTTACTAATTTCCGAGTTTGATGTGGGATTCCCCTCTGAATGCTATGAACATGTTTTATTACCATTAGTTATTAAAGAAACTGTTTTGGCCAATGGCTTAGTAGAGTAAAGTCAGGTCGGAAATATGAACAGAGATATAGAGAAGAAGTAGACAGAGTCAAGGAGATGCCATGTAGCTGTTGAAGGAGAAAGACATGAGCCGCCAGCCAGAACCTTACCTACAGCCTCATGGTGATACACAGATAAATAGAAATGAGTTAATTTAAGATGTAAGAATTAGCAAGAAATATGCCTAAGCTATTGGCCAAACAGTGTTATAATTAATATAGTTTCCATGTGATTATTCGGGTCTGAACAGTTGGGAGACAAATGAGCAGCCTCCATCTACACAATTTAGTCTGAATTGAATCGCCAAATTGCAGGAGAGGACTGGACATTCCAACTCCATGCCATTAAATAGGTCCACTAACAGTAGCACCAATCTCTGCTGTCCCATTTGAAGAATATGTATGCCATCTTAATTCTAAGTGAGAATGTTTTCCTCAAGGGAGCTATAGATGATGTCTCTGTGGGAGATATTAATTAGCACTCGAGGTTTCTCTCTCTTACGTTGTTGCCAATGTACCCAGATTCCTTGTTGGCTTTTTCCTCTTCTTACTGCTGTAATCTTGCTTTCCCTCTTACTCCACAGCTGCCTGGGTGGTTGTATGGCTGGCCCGTTCTCTTCTCACTACTTGATCTCTCCCTTCTTTGATCCCCGATTTCACCTTCTATTTATTCTCTCTGCCTGCCAGCCCCACCTATCCTTTCTCCTGCCTCGCTATTAGTTGTTCAGCTCTTTATTAGACCATCAGGTTTTAGACAGGCACAGTATCACAGCTTCACAGAGTTAAACAAATGTAACATGGAAGAATGCAACACATCTTTGCATCATTAAACAAATGTTCCACAGCATAAACAAATGTAACACATCTTAAAATATTTCACAACATGGGTGAGTGTTTTCCTTGCATGTATGCCATGTGAGTGTCTGGTACCTGCAGATGTCAGAAGGCACCATACCTCCTAGAATTGGAATGACAGATGGTTGTGAGCCTGGGAACTGAACCCGGGTCTTCTGCGAGAGCAAGTGCTCTTAATCACTGAATCATCTCTCCAGCCTATATGTTACATCTTTTTTTAAAAAAAGATTTTATTTTTTTATTATGTATACAGTGCACTGCCTGCATGTATGCCAGAAGAGGGCACCAGATCTCATTATAGATGGTTGTGAGCCACCATGAGGATTCTGAGAATTGAACTGGAACAGCAGCCAGTGCTCTTAACTTCTGAGCCCTCCCTCTAGCCCCGTATCTTATGCCTTTATAATAATTGAAGTGAACTTGTACAAAGCTGATGGCAATATAATTATACCTATCTATGGTAATGCTAATGAATTCTGCCCAGTAAAGATTATATCCGTATAGTAGAAAAGGCCATTCCAAACATTATAGGGTTTTTGTTGTTGTTGTTGTTGTTGTTAGCTTCATAAGTATTAGGGATTGGACCTAAGGCTTCATGCATGCATGCTAGGCAAGCATTGTACTGAGCTACACATTACACTTTAATACTCAGGATATTCAGATTTCTGCGACTAGCGAAGTCATTTCAGCATCCCTCTGATTATAGTAAAAAAGACATTCAGACAGCATTTCACTATGTAGCCCTGGCTGATCTTCAACTCTATGCAGACTCCACCTGCCTCAGACTCCAGAATGCTGGGATTAAAGACATGTCATTATGCCTCATTTGGCTAGTTAAAATTTTGAAACTCAAATTCTCACGTAAACAAGTCTTTATTTTCAGTACCCTCATTGTTTAATGTGTAATGACAGATATGATGATGAACACAATTTCTGGTATGTGTTTATTTTATACTTGTATGAGTTATATTTTGGGCACACACCTTTAATCCCAGCACTTGGGAGGCAGAGGCTGGTGGATCTCTGAGTTCAAGGCTAGTCTGGTCTATAAAGCAAGTTCCGGGACAGCCGAAGCTAAGAGAAACCCTGTCTCAAAAAACAAAAATAAAAGGAAAAAAATGTGTGTGTGGTGTATGTTTGTCATCAGATATTTCTGAGACAGTCTCTCTCAATCTGGAGCTCACCAACTCCATAAGGGTGGCGGCTCACAAGCTCCAGAGATCTCGATAGAATTTAAAATCTTTAAAATTATAATTTAAGGTCAGGCGGTGGTGGTGCACGCCTTTTATCCCAGCACTTGGGAGGCAGAGGCAGGCCTGGTCTACAAGAGCTAGTTCCAGGACAGGCTCCAAAGCCACAGAGAAACCCTGTCTCGAAAAATCAAAAAAAATTATAATTTAGCTGAGTATAAGATAATATACACTGGATGGCAATATATTATAAGAATAAAAGTAAGGTTACAGGATAGTTAAAACTTGAGATACAGTAAGCATTAATTTGTCTTTGATTTTTCTGAGACTAAGTCTCCTGTGGTTCAGACTGGCGTCCAACTCTTACCTCTACTTAGCAACTGCTAGGATTACAAGTATTTTCCACCATCCATACCCAGTAGTATTTTAAAAAAGAAAAAAGAAAACAATACAAAACAAAAACTTGGGAGGGACTTCTGGGGACTGGACCCCCAGGGTTTCACATATAAGCACACATTGCCTCACTTTTTGCCTTATGTTGCTTTAGTAGAGCCGATCCGTCCTACAGTTCTGGAGTGCCCTCCTCTGTTTTCACAGTACACTAATCCAAACCATCATCATCTCTCTCATCTTCCTTTTCTTACTTCTACTTTAGATCGTTTACTGTAGTCAGATGATTCTTTCTCTCCTTTCTGAGACAGAGTCTCACCATGTAGCTCTGACACTTTAGATCGTTTACTGTAGTCAGATGATTCTTTCTCTCCTTTCTGAGACAGAGTCTCACCATGTAGCTCTGACAGCCCTGGAGCTCACTGTGTAGACCATGCTGGCTTCGAACTCAGAGATCTGCCTGCTTCTGCCTTCCAAATTCTGGGATAAAAGATATATACCTCTATGCCCCGCTAGATGATCGTTTCTAAAAATAGTTATCACTCCTTCTTCTCCCTTGGATCCTGAATAGTGGAATCAAGTGTGGTTGGGCCTAAAGCTTACACAATTGGAGTCTCTCACAACACAAAACTAGGTGTCTATAGAGACAGACCTTGAAACTGAAGCTTTTACGCCTTCCCTGCAATCCCGCTTTGCCAATAAACCTGGTCTAATTTCGCTCTACTTTGGGATCATTCTCCGTGCAGTCTGAGCCCAGAAGGCCTTTCCTACCCCCCACCCCAATCCCGACCCCTGGGGAGCCGCTTTAGATTTTCTAGCACACCGCGCTGCGGTGCTCCCAGTGGTCTACGGCGGACAGCGTTAGCTCCCGCGCGGGCGTGCGAAGGTAGGCGAAGGCAGGCGAAGGCAGGCAGAGCCCTGGGAGACTCGCAAGCCTAGCTCCCTCCCCTTTTGTTGCAGTTAACCCAAGTAGCGCGCCGCCCTCCCCGGAACCCGAGAGTACGCAGCTGCGGTTCCGGTCGGAGTTGTTTGACGTTGCCAGCTGACATGGCTGCGCCCGTAGTAAGGAGTGTTCGGAAGCTGCTGAAGCTCGTGGACTTCACGTCGGTCCCGCGGAGACACCGATATAAGAAGAAATGGGTAAGGTCTTGCACGGAACGTTAGAGGGAAACTTATCCAGTCCTTGTGCTTTCCGTCGTTTATATTTGCATACATCCCAAGGACCGTAAACTCCTTGAAGCTGTGGTCACCTCGCTGTCTGCCCTTTTATTAACAAGGCTCCTTTTGCTGTTGCATAAGCAGCCTCCTGATCCCGCCCCTCTATGTTAGGTCATCACTGCGCTTTCATTCTTTCGATGACGTCACATCGCCTCATGTTCCTTTTTTTTGCTCACCTTTCCCTTGCCCTCTTCACCCCTTCTTTCCCCTTCTCCCTCTTTCCCTTCCCTTCCCCCTCCAGTCCCATGACCTCGACCTCTTCTCCTCCGTTCCTCCTTGAATTTTCAGCCCCTGCAACCTCACCCCTAGCAAAAGATCATGACAACTACCCCTACCCTCCTGGGTCTCCGTCGTCCTGCAGTAAAGGATTTAGCCCTGTCCTCACTCTTGGGGTGCCTTTAGCGCCCAGGAAACAGTTCAGCGACCACCTTGTTTGTACTACAGGACTTTCTCCAAATGCAGGCAAAAGGCTCACCAACCCCCCTTACTCCAGAGAACCTTTCTCTTGCCTCATTACATCGCCTTGCCTACCTCGACGGATTCCCTCCCCACCCCCTCAGCCCCCGCTACCCTCCTGCTCACCCCCACAGGGGAGAGGTTCTTTTGAACCCTTTTCTCCACTCCTAGGGAGGCTGTACAGCCAAAACCCGGCTGGTTCATCCCCTCCGAGCCCTTGTTTTGACCGATTCAGCTTTCAAGGGTCACCCTCTCCTTGTCAGCAGAACCCTTATTACAACTGTATCGGTTCCCCAAGATCTCAGCGTCCCTGTCCTCCAAACCCGTGCTTTTGTTACTGTAGCTCGGTGACTTCTCCACCTCTCATTCATCAGCCCCCCAGAACCAGCCCAGTAACCTCCCCTCAAGTCACTCATATATCCTTGGAGTCTGACTCCGTGATTTCGACTCCCGGTATGCCCGGGTCCCAGGGAAGTTACTCCGTAGTTTCACCTCTTCTTACCCATAGGCCCCTGAGAACTGGCCTTACAATTTCACCTCCTCTTGCTCACAGACCTCTGGAAACTAGTCCTCTAGTCGCCACAGCCGTTTCTCACAGAGTTTTGGAAACTGGGCCCATGATCTCCCACTGGTCCTCTGGGAGAAGTTACAGTGACCCTCCTCTTTCCTCGGCCACAACCCCACCCACTGGCAGCCTATACCATGACCACCCTAAGCCTCCAGACTCTTGTGAGCCTAAACCGCAGCCTGATGGATCTCTTGAGGAAAATGGTTGTGGCCCTCCACTTTCTTCTCAGGCAGGCATTTCTTGCTCTCCCGTCTTACCCAAAGTGGGCACTTTTCATTATTCCCATGTTTGCTCAGAATCTCAGTTACGTGCCCCTGGGAGTCCTTACCGTATCAACCTACCACCTGAGAGTTCTGGTTCTTCTAACTCATCCGAGTCTCCATCTCTCCAAAAGACTTGCTTAGAGTCCTTTCTATCTTGGGATACTGGGGGGAACTCTTTCCTCTTGCTAACCCCAGGTAGTATAGTTTCTGGTCCTCCCTGCCCCACAGAACCACCTCCTCCTCAGCGTCCTTATCCTTCCCTGTATTTCCCACCTCCCCTGGGCAACCCGCTTTTAGCTCCTCATCAGACACCCAGAAGTTATAACGAGCCCCCTTTCCCTACCCCAGTTCCTCAAGTGAAGTCCCCCAAATTCTCAGATTCACGCCGCGCTGCCTACAGGTGTCGCTCCCTGGTCAACACACCCCACCCCACCCCTCTTGATCATCCTAGGTCCTGTAAGACCAACACCTCTCCTCAGCCTCCCTCCCAGTCCTTAGGGTTCTCTAATCCTCTTATGGAGCCAGCCATTACAACTACTTCAAATTCCTTACCAAAAGAACTTCCCCCAGAGACTACTGTGGACACAGGACCCCTTAAAACTGTTGCCCTGACTTCCTGTCCCCAGTACCTGCCTTATAATCCTCTCTTGCCCAGTAGATATCCCAAGAGCAGTCCCCACGGACCACCTCCTGTATCCCCCTGCAATACCCACATGTATTCTGTGGTTCCTCCAACCTCCCATTTGTCCCCACTGTCTAGTCCCCTGAATCGCTCTACGCGTCTCCCTCAGTGTCATAACCAGCCTGTGGTTCCCTGTGGCATTTCTGCTGCTCCCAGGGGTCCACCACCACCCAATAGCAAGCCTGTGGTGCCCCCTTGTTCTACCCACATCTATTCTTTTATCCCTCTGAGGACACCCTTTGACCCCCGGTGTTTACCTCTTATTCCTCAAGTTCGGCTTTGCCCCAATACTATTCCCTGTGGCCTTCATACCTATGCCGTGTCCCCTTCAGGCCCACTCAGAGATCCTCCCCAGATCCCCTACAGCTGCTCTTTGCCTTCCTCTAAGAGCTCCACCTGCAGCGCTACTGCCAGCTGTAGTTCAACCGTTATTATTAGTGAATGCTGTAGTTGTGAGAGCCAGAGCCAGAACAAGAGTGCCCTTCCTCATCAAAGCAAGAGTCCCCCACGCAGGAGATCTTTGCAGAGCAGAAGTCGGAGCCAGAGCAGTAGTCCTCCCCAAAGCAATACTCAGGTCCATGGTGAGAGTAGCCACTTGAGCATCACTGAGAGCCAGAGTGAGAAATATCACCATAGCAGAAGTCGGAAGAAGAGCAAGAGCCCTCGAGGTGATAAAAGTAAGAACCGGAGCAAGAGTCCTCACCATAGGAAAAGTCATGGTCGGAGCAAGAGTCCACACAATAACAAGAAATGATGACTACCAGAACACAAGTTCTGACCAGAACAAAAAACCCAGATTAGAGCAGAAGTTGCAGTAACAAGACTGTCAGCAATAGCATCTCCGCGTTGCAACCCCGGACCAGCTTGGGACCTCCACATCGGAAGTCTTCAGTTCTTTTTTAATATGACTCACGTTCTTCACTTCCAGCCCCATAACAGTCACCCTCGAAGTTTCTGCTTTAATTCGTACCTTAAGAGTTTGTGAACTGTCTTTATTCTGCCTTCCTGGGGTCTGGGAAATCTTCTAAAACAACTCAGCTCTGTGATCCTGTGCATTCTGTTGCCCGTTCACTGGGCCGTCTTAGGTGAGTGACTCTCTGCTCCTCAGCTGTGGAAGGTGGTGGTGTTCCTTTTGTATCCTCTTGAGCACTGCTGCCATAGAGCACTCATCAGCTGGTAGACATGAGCAAGTTTTTGAAAACAGGATTATAAAGAATAAAAGTGTCTGGATGGGCATGGTGGCACAGGCCTTTAATCCCAGCACTGGGAGTCAGAGGCAGATGGATTGTGAGTTCAAGGCCAGCTTGGTCTACAGAGCCAGTTCCAGAGCAGTCAGGGCTGTTACACAGAGAAAAAACTGTCTCGAAAAAAGCTTTAAGCCTCAAGCTTTCCCAGGGCTTGAGTAAACAGTTTCTTCAAGAGTTTTCCCTTGAGCTGTTTCTTAAGTCCCCTTCTTCCATTTCAGTGCTAAGTATCAAATCTCAGTGTTGCATGCGCTAGGCAAAAGCTGTCTCACACTGAGCACACACTGAGGTGCATCCCAGCTCAAGCCCTCACTCACCCCCCCTTTCATGTTTTTTGAGACTCTTTTTGTTTCTCTCTCTCTCTCTTCCTCTCTCTCTCTCTCTCTCTCTCTCTCTCTCTCTCTCTCTCATATCTCTGTGTATTTGAGATAGAGTTTCTTGTATCCCAATTTGTCTTGTACTCTCTGTAGCCAAGGATGACCCCCCCCCTCTACTTCCTGAGTGGTAGGATGACAGGAGACTTTTAATAATGACGTTTACTTATTTATTAGTATTGGTATAGGTATGGTGTGTGCATGTGTGCATATGGGTATACCTGAGGAGGTCAGACAACTTGGGGTAATCAGTTCTACCATGTGGGTCCCCAGGACCAAACTCAGGTAGTCACACCTAGTGGCAAGAACCTTTCCCCATTCAGCCACCTTGCTCAGAGACCCCTGATGTGTAACCCAGTCTGATCTCAAGTTTGCTTTTGTAGCCCCAAGGCTCATTTTGAACTCTGGATCCTCCTGCTTCAGCCTGCTGAATGCTGGGATTACGAGTGTGCACCACGATGCCTAGCATTGGCTCGCTCTCTTGCTTGAAGACCCCTTCACAGTAACTGGGAGAGGTATTGTGTTCCTTCTAGGCCTGTGATATGAAGCTAACTCTTCACTCTCCCAGCCCCCAGTTTCTCCATTGGTAGGCAGAGGCAGGTTGCAAAGGTAGGAGAGAGCGCTGGACGGATTTGAGTTTGCCTCGGGGGTCTGAGGTATTGGTAGATATGTTGACTAGTTTTATGCCAACTTGACACAAGCTGGAGTTATGCAAAAAGGAGGGACTCTTAATTAAGCATACCGCTATAAAATTTGGCTGTAAGGTGTTTTCTTAATTAGTGATTAATGGTGGAAGGCCCAGCCCATTGTGGGTGGTGGCATCCCTGAGCTGGGGGCCCTGGGCTCTCTAAGAAAGCTGGCTGAGCAAGCCATTAGTAAGTGAGCCAGTAAATAGCACTCCTCCATGGCCTCTGCATTGGTTCCTGCCGTTCCTGCCCTGTTTGAGTTCCTGCCTTCACTTCCCTCAGTGATGAACTGTCACCTGGAAGTAAAAGCTGAAATAAACCCTTTCCTCCTCAAGTTGCCTTGGTCATGGTGTTTCATCACAGCACCAGAAACCCTAGCTAAAACAGTAAAGTCAGCTGCCAAGAGATAGAGTCAAGACCAGGAAGGTTAATAAGCTTGCCCTTTCTCTTTTAGGCTACCACAGAGCCAGAATTCCCTGCCACTCGGCTTGCTCTGCAGAATTTCGACATGACCTACAGTGTACAATTTGGGGATCTTTGGCCCTCGATTCGTGTTAGTCTTCTCTCAGAGCAGAAGTATGGCGCATTGGTCAATAATTTTGCTGTTTGTGATAACGTGAGTGCTAAGCTGGAGCAGCTGAGTGCCAAGGACTTTGTGAATGAAGCCATCTCTCGCCAGGAACCAGAGCCTGAGAGTGGCCTCGCTCCCACTCCATCCCCAGACTGCAGTCCAAACCTTCGATGCTTTACTTTCTCCAGAGGGGATGTCAGCCGTTTCCCTCCTGCCAGGTAGGATCTGGAACCATGAGGATCATCCTGGGTCCCCGCTAGAAGTGGACGTGAGGAGTTGCTCAGCCCTCTGGAATGAAATCAGAATCGTCAGTTTCCCTGGTGTGCTTATACAGACTAGGTGTTTGTCTAAGTGCTGTACCTGTGCCATCTCTTTTTGTTCTGTTAAGACCCTTAGGGAAATAATATCTGCCTTCTTTTATATTTGAGGTGTAATGAAGTTAAGGAGTTTATTGGCTTCCGATCTGTCAGAGAGTAAGTGGTGTAGCTGGTACTTAGACCCAGGCAGTCTGAACCCCAAAACCTGAGCTTGGAACCTGTTCTGACATACTGCCTTCTGTAGGAAACACCTGCCTTTTCCAAGAGCAAATCACTGTTTCCTTTCCAGTGAAAATGAAAATGTTTGCCCCGCCAGGCAGCTGTGGGAGTAAGGCAAGAGGAAGTGGACTTTGGTAGGAAAATGTGTATGGAATTCCATGAGAAAAGACTACACACTCAAGGGCTAAACTGGGCTTTAGTCCTGGAGACTAGGAAGCTGGACATGGTCATACAAGCCTGCAATACCAACACTTGTTATCTTAAAGCGTGAGGACAGTGGGGTAGAGGCTAGCTAGGCCTACACAGCGAGACCCAGCCTCAGAAAAACAAACAGCAACACAAAAACAAAACACAACAGAGGTTCAGGAGTTTGAAGTTGTCACTACCCAAAAATAACAAAAAACTAAAAAGTTCTGTTATAATAGCAGATACATTTTTTTTTCTGAGTCTTGGAATCCAGAGTCTGACATAGTTGGCAAGCATTCTACTATTGGGCTACTCTAGGTACTCTTATTTCAGAGGGTAAGACCTGGGTACAGAGAGTAATTTGCTGAAAGTCACACAACTAAGGAGAAGTTTGAGGCCCAGAAAGCCTGGCTGAGGAGTGTTAGACTTAGCTGTCTTCCAGGATTGTGGCAAGGAAGAAGTGAAATTTGGCAAACTGAAATTCCACCCGCCTCTGCCTCCCAAGTGCTGCACCACCATCACTCGGCTTTATCTTCTATTTTTATGTGTGAGTATAAGTCCCCTTTGGGTGCAGGATCCTGCAGAGCAGAAGTGGGTGTCAGATCCCCTGGAATTAGAGGAGGTTGTGAGCCACCATGTGGGTGCTAGTAGTCGAACTTGGGTTCTCTGGGAGAGAAGCTAGTGCCCTTGTTTGCTGAGCCATCTTTCCAGTCTTTGTCACTAAATCTTTTTTTAATTTAATTTTTTGTTTTTAATTGAGCTATTCATTTCCCCCACTAAATCTTAAACGAAGGCCTCTGGTTTTTCATCAGACCCACCTCAGGTAGCTCCAGTACACATAGTAGATAGCCCTTATTTCTGAACCAGTGAAGTAATTTGTATCTTGATGTATAACCCAGTAAAATTGAGTTCATACTATGTGACAGGCATAGTATCAGGTCAGGGAACAAAGCAGGCAAAATCTGCCCTCCCAGAGCTACATTCTAATATGGGAAAATACACACATGTGTGCACGCATGTGCGTGCACACACACACATACGTATACTTGTACCTTTAAAGTGAGGAACAAGTGCTTTAAAGAAAAGTAGTGCAGCTGGAGCTACAAGTCTGGGAATGCCAGTGGTTTAAAGAGGTCACTTTGAGGCAATGCCTGATAGAAGTAATGTGTAGTAGAGATGTGTAAAGGAAGTGTTAGCAACTGAAAGGCCTGAGATATGATCACGTGTGACTCGCTGAAGGAATAGCAAGGTGGCTAGTGAGACTAGTTTGGGTGCAAATTGATCTGTTTTCAAAAGGATCACTCAGGAATGGGAGTGTAGCTTAGTGGTAGAATGTTTACCAAGCATGCATAGAACCCTGAGTTTTATCCACATTGTGTAAGCCAGGTGTGGTAGCACACACCTGTAATTCCACAGCTCATCAGTGGAGCCAGGGGAATCCGAAGTTCAATGTCATTCTCAGCTTCATAGCAAGGATGAGACCAGCTTGGGACACATGAGACCTTGATCTTGTTTCTTTCTTTCTTTTTTTTTTTTTAATTAAAGATGTATTTATTATGCATAGTGTTCTGCCTGCATGTATGCATGAAGGCCAGAAGAGGGCGCCAGATCTCATTATGTGAGCCACCATGTGGGTGTGGGAATTGAACTCAGGACCTTTGGAAAAACAGCCAGTGCTCTTAACCTCTGAGCCACTTCTCCAGCCCTTGCTCTTGTTTCTTAAAAAAAAAAAAAAAAAAAAAAAAAAAAATCACTGTGGATATTATATAAAGGAATGAATGAGTACCATGAATTCTGTATAGGTAAGTTAATGAGTAGTAGATGCTGTATAGACGAGTGAATGAGTAGTGGATACTGTATGGACGAGTGAATGAGTAGTGGATACTGTATGGATGAGTGAATGAGTAGTGGATACTGTATGGATGAATGAATGTCTGGGAAATAATTTTGCTGAGTGGAGCACACTGACCCTGCCGGGCATGGACTTGCTCACCTTGGCTCCCAGGAGATGTGTGAGATGATGATCTCTCTTCCAGACTTGGCAGCATGGGTCTCCTGGATTACTACCTGATGGATGCTGCCTCCTTGCTACCAGTCCTGGCTCTTGGTCTGCAGCCTGGAGACACCGTGCTTGACCTGTGTGCAGCTCCTGGGGGGAAAACACTGGCCTTACTTCAGACGGGCTGTTGCCGTAAGTCAGTGGGATGGCTTCTCAGGCCGGCAGGAATCCCCCACTTCGCCCAGTCAGGGCACACTGAAAATGATAAGCTTTCTTTCTGGTCCCAGGGTCAGAGGGGTAATAATATTTGCTAAGGTTGTCAGTCAGTTGGTCAAGAAAACAGTTTGTCAAGGCTCCTTCAGGCAGATCAAATCAGGGCTCTGATAAACGTGTCATCACGTGACCCTCTCGCCCTTTGGCATTTGCTGATTAACGTCTCATTTCTTTGTGCTCCTTCCAGTGCGGTCTGCTGCTGTACTCAAGTTACATTCTCTAGAACTCTTCCACCCACCCCAGCTGTGCTTTCTAAATCCTCTAGGCTTTCAAGCCTCGGTTCAAGTGTGCTCCCCTAGGAAGTCTTCTCTCCCAGCTGCTGCTGGCTTGTTCAGGCTGATTCCCTTTCTTGTGCACCCACGCCAGGAGCATCACCCGCTAGCACGTGAATATTAGTAGCCTTTCCTCAGTTAGTATCTTCTCCCTCCTCAAGGTTATGAATTCCATGCTGGGTGTGTTGGTGTACTCCCTTAATCCCAGCATTTAGGAGGCAGAGCCAGGTGAATCTATGTGAGTTTGAGGCCAGCCTGGTCTACAGAGCAAGTTCCTGGATAGCCAGAGCTACACAAACCTTGTCTCGAAAAACAAAACAAAGCAAAACAAAACAAAATTATGAATTCCTTGGGAACAGGATGAAGCTTTATGTGTCTCTGTGACAAAGGTGACCCTGGCTCACTTTAACCAGCCACTGGTCAACATCCTGACGGAAAGTAGAAGTTACCTTTTCCCTGAGGCTTAAGAAATAGCCACAAGGGCATGTGATCTTCACTTCTGACCCAGAGTTTAGCCAGGCCCCTCCTGCTATGCGCTCGGACCTTTCCATTAGGTGTGAACCTTCTGTCCTTTTACTCTGAAGCTGGCTTGCATGGTTTGAGTTAGCCTCTAGCCTCTTGGCAGGCCCATGAGTGGTTTGCTTCTAGCCTTCTGGAAGCTCAAATAGAAAAGACAGAAAAGGAAAGATGTTGGTCGGCACAGGTTTAACAAGTGAGTCGTAGAAGGAGAGAGCTGCTTGTTGGTTCCCAGCCACTTAGCTTTGAAATAACCACACAGAAACTTTATTAATTAAATCTCTGCTTGGCCCATTAGCTCTAGCTTCATATTGGCTAACTCTTACATATTAATTTAACCCATTTCTATTAATCTGTGTATGGCCACGTGGCTGTGGCTTACTGGCTAAAGTTCCAGCGTCTGTCTCCAGCAGGGCTACATGGCTTCTCTCTGACTCCGCCTCTTTCTCCCAGTATTCAGTTTAGTTTTTCCCCTAGCTAAGTTCTGCCCTGCTATAGGTCCAAAGCAGTTTCTTTATTCATTAATGGTAATTACAGCATACAGAGGGAAATGCCACATCAGTGAGTCCAGAGCAAGAGCACCCATGCTGGGTTCTGTGCTGTGCTGCGCTGCGCTGATCTGAACACCGTGAGAATCCGGCAGAAGGGAGAGGAGAGAAATGGGCAAAGGAGAAGTGTTTCCAAGTGTGCTAAATTCACAGAAAATCTTCATTCCAGGTCCTCACCCAAGAGACTGACTTCTTGACTCCAGGACATAGCTAGGGTCCCAGAGCTTCAGGGCAAGCATGGGACTCAGGTTGACTTTGTCAGCCCTCTTGCTTATGCAGGGAAAACTGGGTTCTGGAGGGATTGGGGAGTGTAACTTGGAAATGTTGGACCCAGAAGCAGAACTGGAAGCTGTCTTTCCTTTCTCACTTTGTTTCCTCCCGTAAATCCCTTCAGAAAAGGGTATTTGTTTTTTTATATTGAGTGTCCTCAAAACTTGGGACATCCCTTATGGGAACACCAAATCTCTTCCCAGTAGCAACCCGGATTCTTCATTCCAGTTCCCACTTCTTGTTTCTCCATGCTCTGAGGCTGGCTGTCAGCTGTCATTTCTCATCAAGCCTTTGGATTTTTCATTTAAAGACAGATTCCCATTTTTTAGCCTTGTCTTCACAACTTTGATTCTCTTCCCCCAGCCTCCCAGGTGCTGGCGTTATAGGCATGCGCCACCAGGCCTGCCTTAACATCAGTCTTACAGGAATGTTCTTCATATAGTAGCGCTAAAAGCAACTTGGTCTCTCTCTCTCTCTCTCTCTCTCTCTCTCTCTCTCTCTCTCTCTCTCTCTCTCTCTC